TAACAAATTTGGTAATCAAAGGGTGTACTAAATAAATGTATTGTTACAAAACTCGAACCACGCCGACGCCGGGTGAGTAGGACTGTTCCTCTGGTTTGTGCAAAGGTGAGAATCGTTACGGTGTCCCGTTCCCGCCATATATACTTTCGCCTTTTCATTGGTATGGAAATTTGATATTTTCTATGAAGATTGAATATGAATACACAGGGCGATAATCATTGACCAAGCATTTTTAAAGTCCCAATAAGAAGTATCTTTAAAAGATACTCAGACGAGATAAAACCGCTTTTATTTGCATAAGTTGTTTCAGAGTTTTTTTAAATAAACTCATTTAGATTAGTTTATAATTTATATATTATTAATATGATACCCTGTATATCAAATTTTAGAATGGCCAATGGGATTTTCTTATTTCAGTCTGTAATTTTAAATTGACCAATGAAAACCCTACCAATACAAGTAATACTCAATCAGTTCTTCCTTGTGAAGTCAAGCCGTTCTCAGACGGACGTCCGAAAAAATGTATTTAGTATATATTAAATGATAAATAATTAACATCAGAAATATGATATTAATGTAACATATGGCTGCAGGGGTGGTAGTTGATATTATAACCCGAGAACAGGCATTTTACTCCGAGGGCATATTGATATGCATTTGCCGAATGGTTATATAGAAAAAAGCATCGTTGTTAGTACTACTAGAAAGTCTTTAAGTTATCTAAACCACCTCATCGTCATAGACATGTTGTGTGCTTTAAATGTCATACCTGCGACTTGAATAAATTGGATATGAAGTTTTGAATGATTTAGTAAGAGATAATTTTATCAAGGGAAGTAACTGCTTCAATCAATCTTTTCAAACTTAAAATCGGTTGTCTCCCTTGTATTAGATAAAAACCATAAATGAGTGGACAATTTGGTATATGACGTCAAGGCAACGTCTATATTTGATGGAGGGGGACTATAAATCCGTAGTAACCGGTTTGTTTCCCCGCTACTCAATTTCAATTTACCAAATTTTAAGTATTCCGTATTTTGCGTGGTTAAGAACCATTTATTTTTGTCTGGAATTGTAACCTCAAGAAAACTAAATTAATTAAATTGGTCAGGAAAGGTATCCCTTTTCAGCTTTTATTATTGACGCAAAGCAGATGTATGTCATTTTTTTTATTCTATTCAGTTTCAAAAAGCAAAAACCCTGAAAATACGGATCGCCTATACCCGTACAAATCCCCTCCTCTAGCGTCGGACCTAACAAATACGTCCGCACCTTGGTTGACTTCGATTATAAACTCTTCATTGGCCGACTCGTAGTCCTCGCTGCTTGGTATTTCTATCCCAAGATCAAAGGCTACTATCCCGTCTACAACTAGCTCTAGATGGAGCTTGTGTCGCGGCGGTACTTTCATTTTTACGGTGAACACATAGGCGCCCTTGTATGGAGCAACAAAGATGCCAGAATTCGAGTGATAAGCATTTCCAATGTTAGTAACTACGCTGTCGAAAATCACCGTCTGATGTGAACCAAGATGTGGTATTTGATTGGATAATACCGACGTGAATGCAACTCTTCCGTCCGCGGGTATCTGCCCTGCGATTGAGAGACAAATGAGCCGTGTCACGACAAAACCAACATAATGGGTTTGCGACCAGCATGGATCCAGACCAGCCTGCGCATCCGCCCAGTCTGATCAGGATACTTGCTGTTCGCTTACAGACCATATAGCAAGTAGAGAAACTAATAGCGAACAGCATGGATCATGATCAGACTGCGCATCCGCGCAGGCTGATCAGGATACATGCTGTTCGCAAACCCACTATGTTGGTTTTGTCATGACGCGGCTCAATTCATAAAAGCATAAAGTAAATGATGCAAGTGTATTTTTTACGCACTGCATTTAATTTCTTAACTTTTTAATTAATCACCGGCGGTGCACCAGTGTTAGAATTAAGATATTTACGTAAACAAAACAACAAGCTCAAACACGCCCATAAAGAACAACATAATGCAAATGCCGCATAAATACACAGAGGCTTGGGTGTGGAGCTCGAGGACAAACGCCTGTAAATCCAAATAAAATATATTAATCAATCCCAGCACATATACTTATCATAATTATTTATATGTCAAAAATGTTATAATATAAGCTGTTTTGAAAAAAGTTCATATTTCAACATATATGATAATACACTATTATAGATTTTCAAAACAGCTTATATTAAGATTTTTTTACTCTTATGATAAGAATATGTGTTTGGATTGACAAATATACATTTTATTTGGATTTTGAGATGTTGGAGCTCCAAACTCAAAGTGTCTGTGCGTAAATATGAAACAGAAATGAAACAACTGCATCCCAGTTTCTACTATAAGCTTGTTTTCTTTTACCTTACATTCAGAATAAAATTCTAACATCATTTCGTCATATGGTATACATGTATAATTCATCTAAACATCATTTAAGTTATTACCGCGTTTTACATCTTTTAAATGGTCAAACACAACTTTAAACAGTCATGAAACAAAACGAATAATTTAAGATTTGATTTTAACGTATTTTACAATACAGTGACCTCACTTACGTTTCTGAATTCCCAGCGTTCCAGGATGCGATTGCGGTATGGTAATGCTTCCTGACATGCGATCAGAATTTACTTTGCGCTCGCCAATGTTGTTGTTCTCGTCACATATCTTAAAAGCAGCAGCGCAGAAATGTTTTTAATATTGCATGCCAAGATTAAGACTAAATAATAAAAAGAAAAATTAGTGTTTGTCTCGTTATTTGTAAACTGTCTTCGATTTGTCATTACTTTATATTTTGGATAGTATTTATTAATGGCAGTGCGTGTATAGCAATCAGTCGTTTATACATGACCATATATTTTGTCAAAAATCTTTTTAAAAAGAAATGTGCACAACTGCAGGTTTTATTTATTTGGAACAAAGCTGAAAATTTATAAATTTGCAGCCGCTTTGAATAAAATAAGAAAATAGATATATAAACATTCTGTATAAGACGCTGAAAATGTGTTGTAAGCACTACCTGTTCCACTAATATACGCAAAAAAACATCAGCGTTTCTGTTTTCTTCCTTTTGGGCTTGAGTCTCGGCAGTGGCAACGGCACATAATATCACTATATCGCAGAGCCATTACGTAACAAACATACTGTATAATATCTTATTTGAAAATGTCCTGCTGGCAGACAACAACAAATTGTACGAATGCGAGATCAGTCTGCGCATGCGTGCAATCTGATCATGGTCTGTACCGTTCGCTATTCAGTCAACATATATTTGACATTTTCCCTAAAAATGATGAATGATAATGTCTGGATTGAAAAATGGACGAGTCCATTCCAGATATAAAGCTTGTAATGGATTAAAAAAATTAAGATACATAATTACATGTACAGTGTATTTACCTTTTTATGTCTGTCTCGATCCTGAATCAGCTGCTGGACTTTGCTTGTTAATTCTTTGTTTTCCTTCTGTAGTGTGAATACCTCATTTGTAAGCTGGTCAGTTTCTATTCTGTACGTTGTTTTTATGTTCTTTAATTCATCAACAATCGATTGAATGACCGGTATTACCGTGTCGTCATTTAATTCGACGCTGAATGAATTCGGACAGAAAAAAACTATCACCAACGACACGTAGGTTAAGATCGTCACCATGTTCACTGATAGTAAATTGAAGATTTTATAAAGAAGGTCAAATTTGTAAAGATAAGACGTTACCTTAAGATAGTAAATAAATAGGAACGGCTAAGAGATATCAGACTATCTTGCCACTCCTATACCACTGCCCCCCCCCCCCCCCCAACCTCCGGAGGGCAGAAGGGAGTCATTTAAGCGCAGTAAACAATGGACTTTGTCATGTTACCAAGGATGTCATTGAAATAGTAGAAATAAAGTTGTACTAGACTTCACAGGCACTCGGTGGTGAGACCGTGACCCAACCTCGCCCAGCCTTCGTTAACTCTCTGTAACATTTGATACTTCAACACGACGGGGACATTTGTACCAGTCATAAAATTGGTTCGCCAATTGAAAAAAATCCCAATGAGACTAGTTAGTGGGATTTTTTATTAGTTTTAAAATGGTTTTATAATAAGATGGATGGCCATTTGTATAAAATGCTAAAAGTTTTTTGTTTTCATTGACAGTTGACAAGACAGATCAAGCCGGGACCGGGTCTGATCCCCTCCCTAATTTAAGTGTCTGTGATTAAAAGGACTAAAATTGATATGTAAATTCGTAAAAAATAAAGATACTCTTTTGTAAACTTTACAAATAATATTCTTTACAAAAAAAGCACAAGAACGTGAAACTGCATGATTGTACAGTTTTTCCTTCAGTGTATTTTGCTAGATACGGGGAAGTGTTGAAATTGAAAACATACCTACAATATATCCACAATAATAAAGGGAGGGCTTTTGTCCGCATTGTTAATTTCACGGGAGGGCTTTTGTCCGCATTGTTAATTTCACTGGAGGGCTTTTGTCCGCATTGTTAATTTTACGGGAGGGCTTTTGTCCGCATTGTTAATTTTACGGGAGGGCTTTTGTCCGCATTGTTAATTTCACGGGAGGGCTTTTGTCCGCATTGTTAATTTCACGGGAGGGCTTTTGTCCGCATTGTTAATTTCACGGGAGGGCTTTTGTCCGCATTGTTAATTTCACGGGAGGGCTTTTGTCCGCATTGTTAATTTCACGGGAGGGCTTTTGTCCGCATTGTTAATTTCACGGGAGGGCTTTTGTCCGCATTGTTAATTTCACGGGAGGGCTTTTGTCCGCATTGTTAATTTCACGGGAGGGCTTTTCTTCATTATAAACCGATGATCGCAGTATCCTGACAGCGAGTTCGAATCCAACGCATGGGCGGATTTTTTTCTCTCTAATTCATAGGTAAGTGTTTTACGAATTTGAAATGTTCCCCAGGATATAGGTAAACTAGGTGGTCAATTAAAAAATAAAGAAAAAAAAAGAATACACAAATGACTTACTAACAACAGTTTTATTTCACATTGACAATTTTAGAAACAATATCAACAGTTTATATATTTTAGTAACGATTTTTATATTTAACAACGACATATTTAGTGTGCTAACCGACCATCTTTTGATAAGTCCAAAAAGAAAACTTGTTCCCATTTGTAGAAAAGTACAAAATGTTAATTTAACAAATAAACAAGTAAAAACATTAGTGACTTTTTCTATTCTATTGCAATTTTATGATATCAAAAATAATGTACTCGGACTTATATTTCAAATATGTTTAATAAAGAAATGCAGGTTAAAAAAATTCTTTAAAAAAATTAACTTAAAGGCACATTATGCCTCAGAAATGGATAAAATTTTCATTCTTTAAAAAAGTCAAATGTGAGTTTTTAACATTTAAATAAATGTTTTAGAGCATTTTACATGCTCATCTTCTGAAGAAAGTAAACAAAGTAGTATTTTGACTTCCATTCAAAATACTTAATCAACAGATGCAAAAGATGGTTCAGATACAATGCATTTGGCCAATGAGTGACTTTTTGGAAAGTTTTACATGGCACAAATGAAAGCTTTTGAGAAATGAAAATAAAAGCATTTCTGGGGCATAATGGGCCTTTAAACAATGCACTGAAGTCAATATGAAACATAACCATTCACATAACAGACTAAAAATGGGTGACTTAGTGCCAAAATATAGTCACCTCGTAAAATCAATTGCTCGGTTGCTAAGGAAATCTTGCGGTTGCTAAGGAAATCTTGCGGGGAAAAAAATGATATATGTATTAAGGGTTTTCAATTTTTCGTGTTTTTTGTTGTTTTTTTCTTCTTAAAGATTACTTATAGAGTTATTAAAAAACAATGAAGTTTCAACATACAATTTCTTGTTTAAAGAAATATCCAAAAAGTAAAAATATAAATATGTGACATAGTGTTCAAGTACAGGCTCCTTGATATTATTTTATTATTATTTTTACTGCAAAAATACACACATGTGTAAATCTTGGTAAGATTTAAGCAGAAAACCAATTCAAGAAAAATTGTTTTCTGTAAAGCAGTATATATAAGCAAGAAAACATGTTATATGTTTTTTTCAATTAGGAAGATAGCCTTAGCAACCAATTTTTTTTTCTTCATATATATAAAACAAGACTTTCCTACCCATCAACAATGAGATATTACTTATAATGATATAATGACTCTTGTATGAATGCATCTTCGGATACCCACAGTTGAATCATTAACATTTATCAGCCGTGGATTTTTTGGCAGATTTGAGATGTGTCAAAGGCAGCTATTTCATTGGTTGCCTCACAATTTCATGAGGCGATTAAAACCAGTCAAAATGCTCATTCTAATCAATGTTCGGCATTGCAGATAAAACTGTGGCAACCAATTCAGTTCAGCTGTGAAACGATCAATAGTAAAAATGTGAACGATTTCCAGCAAAAAAAAAAGCATAGAAAATTTACTGTTACTGATAATTTTTACCTTCACTGTTGAAGAATAAAAATTTTCTTTAATGCAATTTCATTGGTCGATATATTTAATGCTTTTTTTGGTGCAAATGGATTCATTTTACCCACATTTTGTTTACTTGTAAATCAACCGAGGGTATCTGATGATGGTATGAATGAGCCGCGTCATGACAAAACCAACAAAATGCGTTTGTGACCAGCATGGATCCAGACCAGCGCATCCGCGCAGTCTGATCAGGATCCATGCTGGTCGCTTACAGACCCTATAACAAATACAGAAACTGATAGCGAACAGCTGCGCAGGCTGGTCGGGATCCATAATGGTCGCAAACGCACTATGTTGGTTTTGTCATGACGCGGCTCAAATGTTAATATAATCAGACTATTGCACAGTGAGAGAGATAGAGAAAATAGAAGTATACAGTATACAGTTATTTCTTTGGAGTGAATAATATGGATTATATCTAACTGAGAAAAGAGATTTGGTATATATACTTCACTCATCAGTAAAATATACAAAAATATATCTACTTTTCAGAGTGTGATATATGAATCAGTAACAGAAAACTAAGAGAATGAAAGACATAAAAGCATACAAAAAAATAGGCAGTTACGCTTCAAAACTAGAAATGAATGGCTGTTATCATCTTGTTCTTGTTTTTTTTAAAATAAATAATGAAACCAAAATTTCATAGGCCCAAACTCCTCGCAGCGGTTACTTCCCCTGATCTGTACAGTAACCACTGACACCACAAGTAAATTCGGTCGAATATAGCCGGATATATTTTTTTCACTTTTAATTTAAAAATATAATACTTTATATCATTTTAGTTTTCTTTCGTTAAATAGTTATGCTTAATGTACAAGAAAGTAAAAAAATATACGTATAAAAATTATTTTGTAAACATAACGAAAGATATTTTCACTGTGACACCGTATGCATAGTAAACAATGGCAAAATATCAACAGTTATTGAACGATTGCACAAAAAGATTTGATCCGGCACTTGTTTTAAAGTGATAACAAATTGTGTGCCTTGAACTTATTTTGTCTGGTAAGATGTAATTATAAATCTGCCAGTTTGATATGGGATCCTTGGCGTTCTGAAACTGGCCGCCATGTTTTTGTCACATGATACAACTATCATCACGTGATTTCAGTGGTGGCAGTGGTTAAAGTAGCAAAGCGTGACGTAACCGCTGTGAGGAGTTTGTCATAGGCCATTCAAAGACCTTAATAGCATATAAATTATAATCGATGAAAAATACTGCGTAACATGAGAGTAAAAAAATAAGTTAATGCTGTAATTCTGTATTTTCTAAAGTTTAAAACACAACTTTACAATGGTCCCTTAACCCATTCTATAATGAAATCAAGAAATGAGCCGCGATAGAAAAACCAACATAATGGGTTTGCGACCAGCATGGATCCAGACCAGCCAGCGCTCTGCGCAGTCTGATCAGGATCCATGCTGTTCACTTTCCAACTCTATTACAAGTAGAGAAACTGATAGCAAACAGCATGGATCCCGATCAGACTGGTCTGGATCCATGCTGGTCACAAACGCATCATGTTGGTTTTGTCATGACACGGCTCAAATATTTTTCTTTCAAACTACTGTTATAATATGTGATAAATGCATGTATATTAATTCAACTATTTGTGTAAAATGCAACCGGTATGAATAAATAAATAACAACCTGCAAACATCACAACAAAACTTCTCAAATAGATTGTAAAAACAGAAAATTTTAATAACAATAACTTAGGAATGTATAGCCCCAATACCCCCCTCCTCCCATAACTTCCTTCCAACTTTAACCAATATCCTTACAATCTATACCTAAATATTACTCAATGTAAACTGTTAAAAGAAATAACAAAAAACAAATATGTGCCTACGAATGTTGGTCTGAAATCAGTTTATATACATAGAAAAAAATTGTTAATTTTTCCATTTCAAAATCAATAAAAAATTCTCTTATTTTTGTAAATTTATTCATGTATAAAACAAAATATACTTCTATTGTCAATAATACGTCATACTTATACACTTTCCAAAAAAATCATCATCAAAATTAAACCCATGTAAGCATTTATATAAAGTTGTTAATAATAAAATAACAGAAAACTTTTCAGTCAAAATATAGTTACTTCCCTTTATTAGATAAAAACCCTGGTCAATACATAGTTACTTCCCTTTCTTAAATTTTAACAACCAAATCAATACATATATCCTTATCAAATAAAAACCTGGTCAATACATAGTTACTTCCCTTTATTAGACTAAAACCCTAGTCAAAACACAGTTACTTCCCTTTATTACATTAAAAAGTGTTATCTTAAGTTATATACTCTATAATAAAGTTACTCACTTTCAAATTCCCATTATATAATACAATAACAAGAATGAATAAATATAATGATTTTTTACCAATCTATACACAGATATTGGTCAGTTATCAACTGTATTGTCTACCTGTGGACATGCATTTGCTACTTGCATTTTGTGTTTGTTATTGTTAAAATGTGCAGATTAGCTACACTTTGTATTAGTTATAAAAATTAAAATTATTGACAACCTTTCAAAAATATTGGAAACCTATCAACAAAATATTGATTATTTATCAACAGTCATCAACCTGAGCTAAGGTGTGTCTATCATTTACTATGTGTTATGGTCCCTTAAACTAGGGCATTAGCCACCTGTACATTGTATTGACTTTTTAGCAGGAGAAATAAAATCTAAAATCAATTATTTACATAATAGGCCCTTTACTTTTTAAGACAAGATTTTGTGCATCAGAGCAGCATGAAAGATCTTTAATGCTAAATTTTGTGTCTGAAAATGCGAGTTACATATAAAAGAATGTTCCATAAAGCTATTTATAGTCAATAAAGTTATTTATAGACATGATGAAACATATTCAACATGCACAAAAACAAAGTTTTGGCATTCGGAAATCTTGGGTCAATTTTGACATCAAAGTTTTATCTCTGCAAAATGATTCTAAATGAATGAAAACAATAAATAATTTCACATCTTGACATTGTTACACATTTCATGAAATCTAAGATGTTTGTTCACCTTAAATAAAAAACGTATCAGTGTATAAGAAAATGAGTTTTCACTCTTTAGAACTAAAGCAAATGATTTCCCTTAGGTAATTTTAACAGACTTTTATATTCAAATTTCTCTCTTTACTGGTAGCAACCATTAGTCACTTTGGGTTCCAGCAAGGTCACGGGTCACCGGTTAAGGACTTACTATGCAATTGTAATAAATAAAGACTTTTAATAATAAAAAACATTCTTGCATTGTCCTAAACACACTAAGATGTACATATTGTCTTGTCTACAACCCATGGATATATTGTAAGGTGTATTAAACTACAGTTCTAACATTCCCTTTTCTTGTTAGTTAAGCATATAACTGAAAAAAAAAATAGAGCAAAAGCAAAATACACAGAATACTGTTACTCTTTGTGAAAATTTCAAAGAATACATGTATACATTATTAACAGGAAAAGTTCTATTACATAAGAGAACTTTACAAAATTTTCTTTTTTTTTCAAATTCTGTAACATATACAAGTGACATATATAAAAAATCATTTTTAAAAAGCTCTGTAACACAAGTGAAATTTAGCAAATATTTTTCATAGTTCTGTAACAAAAGTGAAATAAATAAATTATTTTTCATAGTTCTGTAAAACAAGTTAAATATACCAAACATTATTTTCATAGATCTGTAACACAAGTGAAATATACCAAACATTGTTTTTATATTCTGTAAAACAAGTTAAATATAGAAAATATTTTTCATAGTTCTGTAATACAAGTGAAATGTACCAAACATTTTTTTTTAATTCTGTAACACAAGTGAAATATACCAAATATTTTTCAAAGTTCTGTAATAAATGTGAAATATAGAAAATATTTTTCATAGTTCTGTAACAGAAGTTAAATGTAATACAAAATATTTTTCATACTTCTGTAACACGTATGAAATATACCAAATATCAAACATCTTGTAGCATGAAAAGTACAGTGATGATTTTTCATCATGGTGAAAATATATATCATATCCCTTTCTAAAACTAGCATTTCTTCGTACTTCATGCTACATGTATAATAAGTGACAACGAGTGATATCAAATATATCTCACTGATTAAAAAAACCCACCCACGTGCATTTTAACCAATCAGAATAGAATAAATAAATAAGATCAGAGACTTCCTGAACACATGTCAAAAACAGATCTGTAACAAAGTTAATTCTTATAATAATTATACATGTACATGTAAAAATAAAGTCTCTTTATAAATAATCTAGTTTTCATGGTGTTTCAACTGGATTCTTTTAAACATTACCTTCTAAGTTCATAGTAACAGAGTGCTCCATTTTTTTCAATCAGCTAAGTTAATATTATAATAACTTATATGTTCAACATCAATTAATTTCCAAACACCCCACCCATTCCCCTCAAAAGAACTGAATCATTTAATTTCTTTTAAAAACCTAAAATCAAATTTCACAAACTGCAGAAAACTTAGTCCATCATCATAAAACTCTTATTCAAAAATGTCAAAAAGCACTTAAAAGCTCTTCTTTAACTTTATTTTATTCTTAGTACATTTGCACTAAATTGCACTATTTTTTTTTTTACTGAATTCTATCTTTAGTGCCAGTTTAAAAAAAAATCACACCAATGTTCTAACTTTTTTGTTAATTTAATTCTTAGGACCTTTTATATCACCACTTTATAACAAACCACCATGGAGATAAATATGCAGATGTTGATTGGTTAATAATTTGTATATTTTTTTTATTTATAAAAAAAAATGAAATTTTCAGGACTTACACCAGTGCTGAACTCATTAGTGATTCAAATTAGTAATTATGAAAATAAATCATACAGAAGTGTTCAGTAAAGAAGAAAAAATAAAGTTCATATACTAGAGAAATCTAAATACCTGACGACTTTGCAGCAGACGTTAAAATTCAAGATTAGAAAAGCGTTAATTTGCTCAGATATTTTCATTTTTTACTAACAAAATATATTAGAAGCATGTTTGATAAATGATAGTTATAGATTATATAGTAATGGATTTGCTGTAGAGATTTAGATTACTCCTGTTCATGGTCGTCTTGGAGACCATTGACCGCTGTAGGCTGACCGTTCACAGGGGTCTGTGCATCTTCTGTGAAGAGTGGATTTCGAACCTCCATTTCCCCAGTCTGTAAACAGGAGTAAATTCAATTTAAATAAACAGAGGATAATAACACAGTGACATACAGTGAGTGATATAAATTATATCTCTAATATTTCACTAAGGAGCAAAGAAGCAATACTTTAAAGTTTCACAATCAAAATATTTTCTAGTTAACTACACAGGCAGAATGCGGAGAAATAAATCAAATTATGGATACTTGTTCCTGACTGTACAGACATAATAAAATTCTGTTTGGCTTCAACAGAAGACATTCTACAGACATGAAATACTACATATAGGATCTCAGAAAGAAACAATTCCTTGCACAGTAGTGAAATATAAAGTCAATGTTTTTTTTATTATTATATCACAGATGTGACAATCTAACCAACATGCCACAATTTGCATAAACTTGAAACAAAACAGAACAGTATCATTTACAACTAGAATTGTGAAACCAATTCCAACAGTTTATAGATTATACTAAGCAGTTGTTTTTGTATTTATACTGTCTAAACACTGAAAAACTGAACCAAAATAACTCAAATATATTAGTAAACCAGTATAACCTTTTATTGACTAAAAGAAGGACCAGCAAAAAAGTGAAATCATATAAGGGGTAGGACAGGCACTCATAAGTTTACCAAGGCTGGGTTAAAATACTCAACAAGAGCCATGTTAACATGGCCATCCCCCGCCGAAAGTGTTTGCTCATTGGAAGAATGTAGTAGAGCAGAATAATTCAATTTTAAGAGGTCTTTTGGTGGCTGAAGTGATTACAGATTTGAAACCTATGTGAATACTGATGGCTGAAAATAACAAATGGCAATAACTGAAAAATAATGCAGGGTAGGTTATCATTCTTGTGTGCTGCACCCCTCCTCAGTAAAATCTATCCACCTATGAAGATTCAAGTTGATACCTCAAATACTTTTTGAGATAAGCTCTGGACAAAATAGTATGAAAAAGAACAAAGGACATTAACTCAAAAATTAAATAGGGAAGAGTTATCATTCTTGCGCACAGCATTCCTCCTCAATAAGATCTATCCACCTATGACATTTCATGTTGAAATCTCAAAAAATTTTGAGTTATGCTCCATTAAGGTGAAAATTAAGTATGAAAAAAAACAAAGGGCAATAACTCAAAAATTATGGAAGGTAGAGTTATCATTCTTGTGCACTGCACACCTCCTGAGTGAGATCTATGCACCTATGAAATTTCATGTTAATATCTCAAAGGCCTTTTGAGTTATGCTCTGGACAAAAATTAATTTTGAAAAATAACAAAGGGCAATAACTCAAAAATTATGCAGGGTAGAGTTATCATTCTTGTGCACTGCACTCCTCCTCAATGAGGTCTATCCACCTATGAAGTTTCAAGTTGATACCTCAAATACTTTTTGAGATATGCTCCGGACAAAAATGTCGGACGGAAGGACGGACGGAGACTATTTCTATATCCCCCGCCGCCTTTTTCGGCGAGGGAAAAAAACAATAAAATCTTACTGGAGCTAAGCCAGATTAGGTCTCTTATAAACAGACTATAATCTTAGTGCAGATAGGCGAGAACACTCATAAACAGTATATTTCTATACCTTGGCCATTCGCACTCATAACCAGTATATAATTTTCATACCTAGGCTATTGACACTCATAACCAGTGCACAATTTCCAGAGCAAGGCCATTGGCACTCATAACAAGTATGCAATTTCTATGGCAAGGCCATTGTCACTCAAAACCAGAATATAATTTCCATAGCTAGGCCAGTGGCACTCATAAACAGTAAAATCTTACCGGAGCTAGGCCAGGACACTCATAAACAGTAAAATCTTACCGGAGCTAGGCCAGGACACTCATAAACAGTAAAATCTTACCGGAGCTAGGCCAGGACACTCATAAACTGTAAAATCTTACTGGAGCTAGGCCAGGACACTCATAAACAGTATAATCTTACCGGAGCTAGGCCAGGACACGTGTAAACAGTAAAATCTTACCAGAGCTAGGCCAGGACACTCATTAACAGTAAAATCTTACCGGAGCTAGGCCAGGACACTCATAAACAGTATAATCTCCCTCCTCATTTTCCTCCTCAGACTCATCTTCAGAAGCATCATGTTTCATCTCACCATTGGCCCTGTAATACATCAAATAAGCTTAGTACTTCAGGACCTTAAATTTAGTACTTCAGGACCTTTAATTTAGTACTTCAGGACCTTTAATTTAGTACTTCAGGACCTTTAATTTAACTTTATTGGTTTGGTTTATACAGAATTTATTCTAGTTTGAATTTGTTAACTAAAGAAGCTATATTAGCTTATAGACACACTTTGGAATCGATTCCTGGAACTAACCAGTACTGAGCAATGAGTGTAAAGTTGGCCATGTAAGACATCAAATATGCTTTGTAACTTCTGAGGACCTTTAATTTAACTTTATTGGTCTGGTTTTAACTGAATTTATTTTAGTTTAAATGTGTACAGGTGTACGAAGCTATATGCTAATTTCTTATAGACACACTTTGGAACCAACCAGTACAGAGTAATGGGATTAAGGAAACTCTGCCCACCTGCCCACCACTTTTTTCAATCAAACTCAACAAGTAAAATATATATACATGTATGTATATATATATTTGTCTGTCTGGGCATTCTTTAGGTTCATTCTTGATTTTTCCCTCTGATCTATGAGTGAATATTTACATCATTGATGATAAGACTTAATAAATAAGTCTAGCTAGCTGACATTAAAAAAGTTGTTTAGTAAGATGCAGTCAAATGTGGGGGCCATTTAATGTCATCCTATACATTATTTCAACATTATAAAATTCATGTTTGCCCTTTCTAAAAAAGTAAGAAATCATTTTTTTGTTCAGGCATAATGTGTCTTTAGATAATTACATTATAGATTGCAATATTCACATAGCTTACTTTGTGTCAAGGACCATCCCTATTTTTGAGGATATTTATCATGAATAAAGGATTTTAATACTGAAATTTGTGATTTCAATGTTATCACCTAAGTGGTCTACCTTTGAAGTTTGAGATTTACGACTCATTTTATAATAACATACCATCACCATCGTAGGTGTATGTTTACTGAAAGTTTTATAATCTTATCAAACATGATATTTTACAAGACTGTGCTAGACTGGTTCCATTATTATAAATACATATACAGTGAACAGTCTGGTTCCCTACATATGACACTATAATCTGCCATTTTAAATAGAAGCCTTACAAGAGACTGGAGCCTGATAAATCTTTTTTTCTTTTCTTTTAACAACACATTTTGTAAACCAGTCAAAATCATAAATTATCTTGACTGCTTCCATGTAAATAGTTGACACAACCCTTTTTTGAATGGAAGCAAAACTTAATGGGACTCCACTGAGGTTTTCTTACCTGACAAGACTGACAAAGATTTTTTGACATTTGACATTTTGACATTAATACATGTATATTCCATTTCATAATAGGGTAGGTCTAAACCAAAAAATGGTATCAGGCTTAGAATAGCACAAAATGTGATTTATAATTTATTTCTGAGTATATTTCTTCACTGTGTTATGTACTTCTTTCTGTTTATTAAGACTTAGTGTCCCCGTCTATTTATGTAAGAAACTTAAATTTTGGACTTTTAGGATTCAGTGGCCTTTAGACCATAAATTTTGTTCATAATTATGTTGTCTGTCATCTATGTTCATGTTTTAAGCAAAGGACTGTGGTCAACTTCATATTGAAAATGGTGCCATACCCTCACTAGTATGTTAAATGTTGAACTCTACTTCTGTTCTATAAATAACTGAACCTTACATAACCAGAAGAAGAATGTTATAACAATAATTAACTGTATATCAAACATAATATGAGCCAACATAATAGGTTTGCGACCAGCATGGATCCAGACCAGCCTGCGCATCCGCGCAGTCTGATCAGGATCCTTGTTGTTTGCTAACTAACCCTATTACAAGTAGAGATACTGATAGCGAGCAGCAGGGATCCTGATCAGACTGCGTGGATGCGCAGGCTGGTCTGGATCCATGTTGGTAACAAATGCACTATGTTGGTTTTGTCATGAAGCAGCTCAATTAATCTTTATTCTTACTTCTCCATGGCGATCATCTGCTGTTTCTGATGTTGATAGTGGTACATCTGTGCGCTCTGCGCTAACTTACGATCACCAGGCGATGGTAGTCGCTCCTTTGTTGGACCCGTTACTCCGTAAGCTGGGTATTCTACATCACTCGCTGCTTTCACTCGTCTATGGAGTCTGAAAATATAAAATGTCAATAATTTGCTTCAATAATTTCTAATATATGGTAGAAATAGGTCTATTTGTTGGATTTTTTTTAAACTTAGACAAAGAAGGTTAAACTTAAATTTGTTTTTTTTATAATACAGATAGTTCCCGATTTTTACAATATTTACCTCCCTTGCCAAAAGTGGCAGCCATACAAAATATAATTTATTGTAGATCATTTTTTTCTTCTTCAAAGCATTCTTAATTGTTCAATATTTGTTAAAGTAATATAATTGTAAAGAGTTTCTAACCTATCTAATTATATAAACATCTCTTTAAATCACTCTTTATCAAGAAAACCATAAGCTTGCAACATTGACTGCAGATTTATTAATGTTAGAAATCAATTTCCATCTTTTATATCTAAATCCATTATCCAGTTCTTGTTGGACATTATTTCTAAGTAACAGTTTTTACAACTTTAATCTTTTTAGCATGACAGAAAATAGATATAAAACATTCATAATCCCCTGGCAATAATTTATAGCTGTCCAAAGTCGGGGTTGTTGTTTTTTCTTCTTTTCATACAGTCTGATCAGATATTCTAAAAACATCACCCATGGAAAAGTCCAAATCTTTCAAAGCAAGGCTTTGAGTACATTATATAACTTGAGCATTGTGACGGTAACAAAAAGTAATCATTTTAATAGTAGCACTTTATCTGCTACAAGCAGACTATAAGATAAAGACCACCTCTGAACTTTGATGTCGGCTTTAAGCTTATCATAAGCTTATTAAGGTCAATGGCCAGTTTTCCTTCCATTGACCTATTATGTTGATATTAAAGATAACAATGTGGATTGACTGATATATTACTATAGGTCAGCAGGGCGGGCAAAATCTGATTTTCACTCAACTTGTCTGTTTTTATATAAAGCATTTCTTAACTTTTCCTTATGATATTTATATAGAAAATTCTTGAAAATTTCCACTTGTCTGTAGAGGCTTTAATTGGGACAACTTGGGCAACGTGGAAAATTGAATTTAACACCCGGGTGTAGATTTTCCAAGGTTTTTGGCTCAAAATCCTTGGAAAAAAACCTCGGAGTATTGGAACAAGAAAATGCAAAACTTTGCTATTAAAAAAACCTTGGAAAAATAGGGAGAGGGTGAAAAACCTTGTAAAAAATTTCCGAGTTTTTATTAAAAAAAACCTCGTAAAAAGTATGACCTCGGAGTATTGGAACGATTTCCAAGGATTTCAGAATAAAAACCTCGTAAAATAATTTCCGAGGATTTTTTTTAGAAAACCTTGGAAAATGAGTGACCTCGGAGTATTGGAACGATTTCCAAGGATTTTTAAAGTGTTTCCGTGGTTTGTTTTCCAAGGTTTTTAAATGAAAACCTCGGAAAGTTTCTCACAACTGGGAATACTGTTATATTTTCGAGGATTCTTACTTAAGGGCATCAGAGAATTTTCCAAGGTTTATTTGAGCAAAAACCTTGGAAATTTCTAGAATATCCACGGAAAATAAGAAAGTATAACATCCAATGACATATTCTGAAAAGAGCAATTATATTGTCCTTTTAAGGAATTAAGAAACTTCTTTATAATAATACAGAGCAAAAAATGATCATATGACTCACTGAAACATTTAATGTCAGTGTGAAGTAAATAGTAATGCACTACAAATGAAAAGTTAAGTTAGTTATAGTCTTTAATGGTAAATATTACAATCAATGTTCAGTTATAATTTTTTGATATCCGGCTATATTTTAATGTATTCAAATATCTATCTTTTGAATTCCTGTTCACTCTCCATGATTTTAAAGTGTCCCTTAGTTTTTCCCTCACCATCACAGGGGTCACATGTGGAAAATGCTCCAGGATACAATTCCTGAAATAAATAAAGTAAATATTTAATAAAGTACAGCCATTTGAAAGAAGTTAGAAAAACAATTATATAAAATCACCACTGGGCGCTTCCCTCTCCATGTGGTCAGGATCAAAGACTTCAAACTACTTGCCTAAGTACAACATTGTATTTTTGACTTCTGAAGCCAGGATGGGCTTCTTCCCTCTGAGGGAGCTATCCAGCCCAGGATTAAGGAACACCTGTAGTTATACTCAGGAGTCAGGACAGTTCAGTATGTGTAGGCAATCAGAATTACATCATTTAATTTCTTTTTTATTAATCAATAAAAAAAATGATACGTTCCTTAAACATTTCCATAGACAAAAATATCAGTTCACTGTTGATATATATTGTTTTAAAAAATCAGCACTTTTGTGAAAAGAAATACATCTTTTGAGTGATCCAAAACTACTTGAATGACAAGTTGTTTATTATAAAACCTTTGCTTAAAATGAAGGCTTTAATATTTTCAAATGACCTTTTCTGTAGTTACTTTTAAATGTTTGTCTACTGTTTTGAAATAGTGAATTTAATTTTTTTCATGTTGATTTCTACTTTTTCTTCATCAGTACTTTATAAGTGTTAGGATTTCAAGAAAACTTTGGTAAGCAGTGTGACAATTCTGCGATGTTAAGAAAAGAAACGACGTCTGTTACTATTATTTTAGATTATGTCATACTGGATGTTACAACCTAAAGCACTCCAAAAATATTGCAAAAAATAACGCTTTTCATAAGGTGATTCCGATTGCCTACACTAATTGTATCTGTCTGCTCAAAGTGACATCTGCATCAATAAAGCTGGAGAGTCATCATGTAACATTAACAGCATTTCCAACAAAGTATCAATAAAAAAATCAGTTCCAGAAACCTTCATTCATTCAAATTTCAAATTGAAACTTTCAAAACCTAGTTTTAAAACAAAAACATACTGTAGTATATTCCTTGAAGCCTTTCCTGGTCTACAGTTGGCTTCCTTAATCACTTGACTTTGAAGGTGCCAATGCCAATGACATTCCAGTATATTCCTCTGCTTTATACTATGATAAAACACAGCAAAGCTGGATAGTTTGGAACAGTCCTGCAAACTTGCTTACAAGCTGACTCTGTAATTAAAATTTGTAGATTCAAATAATAGATGAAAGATGAAAGTTTATAAATAATGTCATCATAGTTTAATGCACTCATCTTGTTCAATACAATCATAGACAAACATAGCATTTATACTCATAAAATATCCTCTAAACACTTGTATTTAAACTAGCTTACATTTAGGTTATAAATATAGATCTAAAATAGTTTGTATTTAATACTTATTTGAAAAAAAAAACAACAACAGATTTTATGCATAAATGTATCTAAAATTTATAATTTACCTGAACATTTTAACTATCTTGTTTCTTTTGTTTATCTTCCTGTCCCAGGTCATTGATCTTTAGGTTCAATTACAACAACCAAACATTTCCTGAATCTTGTCACACTTAGATAAATGTTTTCTTTGAAAATTCCAAAATATGCTCCCTAACATTAATAAAACAAGGAACATCGCAATGCGATGCAACCAGGTTTTCAGCAAAATATTTCACAGAAGCTTTGTCATGAAGGGGCATTTCGCGGGCTTAGCGCAAAACGGTTGTAACTCAATTTAAGCAAATTTTACAGGAGCATGAAAAAACTTATTAAAACTTTTGTTAATGAATAAAAATCTTTTATTTTATGAAAATATATATATTTTAGTTAAGGAATTAGAAACAAAATAATAAAAAAGAAGAAAATAATTTAAAAAAAAAGATATTTGAATAAGTTCAAGTTACAACCGTTTTACAAATAAAATTTTGATTATTTGTTACATATTTTTTTGTGCAAAAGGGTAGTATCTCAAGTTACAACTGTTTTCCGCACAAATTTTGAGAAAATCTAATTATTTTCTTTGTGCAAAATGGAAGTATCTCAAACTCATATCTTTTTTATAGGATTTAATAATTGGATAAAATAAAAAATTACTTCTAAATCACAAAAAATATATGTAGCCATGATAAAATAAGCTTATAAAATAAGTACAAGTCATGTTTTGAATGATGAAAATAATGAAAGTAAGAATAATCAGTGATAAGTTTGAAGAGAATGAATGTCCTCAATAGAGAATAATATAGCCTATACCACTTAATTTAAAATTTGATGGTTAGTTATAAATGCTATTCTATAGAATGGTATAAATGTTATCTTAGACACATGTACATGTATTTCAAAATTAAATGTAAGCTTTAGCCACCCTTTCAGCTGCTGGGCATTTAATCCTTACCCCAATTGATATTATACAATTATGGACTTCAATTTTAGCAAAATCATTCAAAAAGCTACAGTCTCACTGTCATCCCGGCAGAGCCCCGTTAGACGTCAGGGGTGATTCCAGAATGACCAAGGCTCTACTGGGAACAACCGGGGTACATCTGTAGCTCTGCTGGCAACGTCCGGGATGATCCGGGAACATCCAGCATTCGTACCCAGATGGAATAAAATATTTAATATCACCGGGGTGGTCCAGGATGATCCGGGTAGGAAAGCTTTGCCGGCTTCATCCTTAGCTCTGCCAGGAATTACAGGGGTTACACCGGGGAAGCACCGTAGCTCTGCCGGCTCAAACCGGGGTATGATATAGCTAGTAGAGCTACAGTAGAGCCCCGGTGCATGCTGACAGAGCCATGGTGAATGCCGGCAGAGCCCTGAGGATGTGGGCAGAGCCCCGGAGGATGACGATGGAGCTACGGTTGATCCCAGTAGAGCCCCAGCAAAGCCCAGTTCATTTCAAAAGAATCACGACAATTAAAGATGATTGCACTAGTTTGTATTAAAAACCTTCCCATTTCCCTTCTATCCAGTCTTGCTGAAGGATTTTTCAGAAAAACATCTTGAATTACATTACTGAATTACTGTAACTAATTTTATCATTATCGCGCGTTTTCAATCTACCGAGGGTCTGTCTGGATCATCCTGGGCTCTGTCTGGATCGACTGGGGCTCTGCCTTAGTCAACCGGGGCTCTTCAGGCATCATCTGGGAATGACCGGGGAAGCACCAGCAAGAACTGTAGCTTCACCTGGGCTCTGCCTGGATGGTCCGGAGCGCATCCTGGTTGGTTAGTTGGGAATTACCATAGTGCTGCCGGGGTTAGTGTGACCCCAACAATAATTTCACCCCGGATTGTCCCGTCTCATCCCGGTAACTTAACGGGTTGGTCTTGGGCTCTGCAGGGAGTAAATGAGACCGCAGCTTCAAATTTCTACTTGTTAACCTTTCAATTTCAGTTATAATATCAATTACATGTACTTTATCCTTCTAGGAAGTTCATAAAATCTTAGAATACCTTTAAATTACCTTAGCCCACTGACCAGTTCACATTAAATTTGCAGAAGTTATACATTCTATATCCCAAAAAAATTTTTCTTTTACTTCTGGGCATATTTTGGTTTGGTAATATTGTCCAACAATATTGTCCTTGATCTTCATTAACTTTCATGAAGGTCATTGAATAAACTCTTGTATCAAACGAATATATTGATATATTTGTTATCTTCACATGTCAGTAAGGTGAGGTATACATGTATTTGTATAGATGACGGGCTACTGATCTGAAGGTCTCTGGTTTGAGTCACACTTCTTGTGTTTTTGTTCTTTTACTTAATTATTGGAAGAATTGAATTAATTTGAAATTGTTTTAATATATCTACTTTTAGGATAACTTTTAAGAAGTGTGGTGTTAACTTTTGTTTTATCAAGATGTTTTCGTAAGTACTCAGACATAGGGATGTTGGACAATCGCAAGTTTTTCTCTAGAACGCATATTTTTCAATGGTTTTCTTGGTGACATTATGCAAACGTATATGGTTTAGCACATACATGCTACAGAATGATGTAGTTAATAAAAAAGTACACAAATAGTATACACACAAAAAAATGATTTGCACAAGGTTTTAGAGAAGGGCTATTTTAAAATTAAAAGAAATAAAGTGGCTGAACCAGGATTCGAACCTACAAGTTTATAATGTCTATAATGTCTTGAAGCAATTTCTTACTGCTTGCACTAAGAGGGATTCTTAATTAAGACCATTTAACTACTGGTTATATGATTAGTTAGAAAGACTGTTGACAGGTTATTATGGCCCTGTATAAACAGTTGTTTGTAAATATAACCCGAGCCACTAGGCGAGGGTTATATTGCAAACAGCCATTTATATTATATGTTATTTTGGTTTTGGAGTGATATATGTGGATATATTACCTGTTAAGATTTTATATCACCCGAGCCGTTAGGCGAGGGTGATATTTTATCTTAGCAGGTAATATATCCACATATATCACTCCAAAACCAAAATAATAATTTTATTACCCTTCCCCTGCCAAGTTTAGACGATTTTTTAAAAAATCATTGCTGTTTCAAATGAAACGTCGAAATAAGATTCCCTTTAGGGTACCTCTTCGTCACAACATGACGTCACATAAATACATGACGTATTTTCCCGTTCCTAACGGATGTAAACAAGAGAAAAGGAGTAGTCTATTGAACGCACTTTTTTGTAATTAATATCAAGCTTTCACAAGGTCATATTTGTTTTCGATACTGATGGTAATATGTATCATTACTCTACTTTGGTAAATATTTATCATTTGACAGTTAAAAAGTGCTTTTAAATCGGAATTTACACCGCGTAAAATCGAACCGTACGCGCATCACCTCAGCGCATGTTGTTTACAACGTTGGGTACCCAACGGGGAAATTTAGTGTGTATATTACCCGTCTGGCTCGGTTATATCAATTTCTTTCGGGTGATCATTATCCAATCAAAAAGGCGGAAAAAATCTGGAAGGGTAATAAACGGCCATATTACCTGTCAACAATCTTTATAACAAATTTATAATACAGCAAGCATTATTTTTTAGAGAAAAAGTAAGATGTTTTTATGAATCAAAAGCAGCCGTGTATATTATTAGATTGTTGACAGGTTATATGGCCCTATATAAACAGCTTTTTGTAAATATGACTCGAGCCGCTAGGCGAGGGTTATATTGCAAACAGCCATTTATATACGGTCATATAACCTGTCAACAATCTTTATAACGAATTTATAATACAGCAAGCATCATGTTTTATAGTCAAAAGTAAGATTTCTTCATGAATCGACAGCAGCCATGTATAAAAAACTATATAAACGTCACAATTATCCAATGAAAAGCGATGTTACAATAAACATTCATAAAGATTTAAAAGTAGATCAAAAGTTTACCGAATTTACTGGCTATAGGGTCAATAAGGAAGAGTGCATGGTCAATATTGTTGGAAAAAAACATACCCTGTCTGTTTGTTAGTGAACAATTTGCTTATTTTTATAAACTGCTGAATGTCTGTAATAGATGTGCCCTGCTTTGTATTTGGAAAAGTCAATCCAATCAATCAATCAATATACGGGTACTAAAATTGAGCTGTCCACAATTACAGAACCTGAACTGTGTGCACATGTGTTCAGGCTGGCCTGGATCTATACTTGTAACAAGAACTGATCATTTTCTATTCCAACATGTCAAGGGTTACAGACTTCATAGATTGTCATAACAAACTAATTCCGGAATTAAAACTGAATGTTTATAATATTTAAACATGGTCCTCTTCAAATTTGATATTTCCCTGAATTTGTGATATAGAGTTTAATATGGGCATCTTTTAGGCAAATTCTACATTGTATGTGGAAAGAAGATTTTAAAAGGCTTCATATTATAAACTCTTAAGCTATGTTTTTGTTATTTTCATGTTTCAAGACAGTGTCATTCTACGGTGTCTTTCCTTCATTGGTTTGTTTGGGGATTTTAACAATGGTCTTGGTTCCTGCCACTTTGTTCATTACACCCCCCACCTCCCTCCCTTCAATTTGGTCCCATACCCCCTTCCGTTTTATTATCTTTAATTATACTTTTATGATATACTAAGGTATAGTAGTTTTCTAAGCCATTCATAATAATAATATGGTTTTTGAGAATGTAAGATGCTTGTAGCCTGAAAAAAATAAAAGTAGCAAAATGTAATCAAAGCACTGGCAGTATTGACTTCCACAAAGAATACTTATTGACACTTAACTCACTGTACTTCTTTCAAAATTGCAAAAGATGAAATAGATTGTTCAGGTAATTTGCCATGAGTAACTTTCTTGATAAGAACACTAAAATTTAGAAGCTCTTGAGAAATAAAAATAAAAGCATTTCTGAAGCGTTATGGGTCTGAGCTTTGGGCCTTGACATACCTTCCATGAACAGACTTTGTGCCTGCAACAATATCAGTTTTGCTACTATGAGCATAAACTGAAGATAGTCTGAATTAGATCTACATGTACTTGCATTAATTTTCAAAATATGGAAACGTTTGTCTGCCCTGGAAAAATAAGTGTGGTGCTAATTTTTGATCCATAAAGGGCTAAATCTTTTCCACCTTGTCATTTTATTATTGGGGAAGGGGGGGGGGGGGGGGGAGAGAGAATATGGACATTTG